CTCGTAGACAGACCATGGCAGGACTCGCTGGACACTTCTCCAATGCAGCCATCTCGTAGACAGACCATGGCAGGACTCGCTGGACACTTCTCCAATGCAGGCACCTCGTAGACAGACCATGGCTGGACTCGCTGGACACTTCCCCATTGCAGCCACCTCGTAGAAAACTAGCAGGACTCGCTGGACACTTCCCCAATGCAGGCATCTCATAGACAGACCATGGCAGAACTCGCTGGACGCTTCCTCAATGCAGCCACCTCGTAGACAGACCATGGCAAGACTGGCTGAACACTTCCCCATTGCAAACACCTTGTAGAAAGACCATGGCAAGACTCACTAGACGCTTCCATCATGCAGTTACCTCGTATACAGACCATGGCAGGACTCGCTGGCACTAAGGATTGATGGAAGTAGCTGAAGTGTAGATGTGGGTCTCTTTTCCTTGCAGTTGTCAGTGGGAGCTCCACCGAGAATCGCCATAATCGAGTTCTGTTAACAGAAAGAAATACAGATTAATGACTTTTCCTACATTTATCTGTTAACAGAAATAAAAAAAATGGATTAATGACTTTTCATACATATGTCAGCACTCTGCATTCAGGCTTACCCTAGGGTTTATGTTTAAAATAAAAACGGATTAATGACTTTTCCTACATATGAAGATACAGTAAGGCTTACCCTTAAGGGTTTTCCATCTCGGTGAAACAACATAATCCTGGGACGCTTCCCCAATGGAACCACCTCGTAGACAGACCATGGCAGGACTTGCTGGAACTAAGGGTTGATCTAAATGTAGATGAGGCCCTCTTTTCCTTGCAGTTGTCAATGGGAGCTTTGTCGATAATAGCCATAATCTAGTTCTGTTAACAGAAAGAAAAAAACGGATTATTGATTTTTCCAACATATGTCTTTTAACAGAAAAAAATGGATTAATGACTTTTCTACTTATGGCAGCACTCTGCAGCCAGGCTTACACTTAAGGGTTTTCTGTTAACAGAAATAGAAACGGATTAATGACTTTTTCCTACCTATGTTAGCACTCTGCAGTCAGGCTTACCTATATGGGTTTTCCATCTCCGTGAAACACCATATGCCTGGGATGCTACCCCATTGCAGCCACCTCGTAGACAGACCAGGGCAGGACTCCCTGAACGCTTCCTCAATGGAGCCACCTCGTAGAGAGACCATGGCAGGACTCAGTGGACGCTTCCCTGATGCAGCCACCTCGTAGACAGACCATGGCAGGACTCGCTGGACGTTCTCCCCAATGCAACCACCTCGAGTTCTGTAAACAAAGTAAAATGGATTAATGAGTTTTCTATACTTTCCCCCCCCTCCCAATGACACAATACCTTTAAGGATTCTCCTTCTCAGTGAAACACCATATGCCTTGGACTCTTCCCCCGATGCAGCCACCTCGTAGACAGACCATGGCAAGACTCGCTGGCCGCTTCCCCTGATGCAGCCACCTCGTAGACAGACCATGGCAGGACTCGCTGGACGTTCTCCCCAATGCAATCTCCTTGAGTTCTGTAAACAAAGTAAAATGGATTAATGAGTTTTCTATACTTTCCCCCCTCCCAATGACACAATACCTTTAAGGATTCTCCATCTCAGTGAAACACCGTATGTCGTTGACTCTTCCCCCAATGCAGCCACCTTGTAGACAGACCATGACAGGACTCGCTGGCACCAAGGATTGATCGAAGTATCTGAAGTGTAGACGTGGCCCTCTTCTCCTTGCAGTTGTCAGTGGGAGCTCTATCGGGAATCGCCATAATCGAGTTCTGTTAACAGAAATAAATACGGATTAATTAGCTTTCTTACCTATATCAGCACTCTGCATCCTGGACCTGCAATAAGAAATAACCTGGAATGCATGGAAACACATGCAATGACACTAAAACAATGAAGCCCACAAAAGCAGAGAGACGATGGTGTATCCTGCGAAGATTCCTGAGTGACGAGTCCTCGTGGAGAGAAGCGAAGGTTAAAGCTGGCCAGCTAAGAGAAACGTCGAATCCACCGTCCGGACGACTGCGTGTGCAAGAAACAGCATTTGTCGATGAGCGATGCGTTGACTTGGGATGAGGAAAAGATTCGGAGAAATGCGAGTTGACTCCTGTGTCCTTTTCGCTTGATACGAGGCGCAGTACATCCTCCTTGTTGCTCCAGATCTGTCTGTGTTAAATGAACGCAATTTCAAAATCTCGCGCTTATATACCTTCAGTGACATACATAGTCACATGGTGGCGTTCTTGTCGTCACCACAGGTCATTATGTTCATAGGGGGTGGCGTTTGGCAGTGATGCGAAAAATTGATTATAATAATTATAATATCTTATTAATTATCATATACATTTTATTTACTATTTTTATTTTGATTAGTTTGTTTATCATTTTATTTTATAAAAAGAATAATATGTATTAAGCTGTTGATGCGAAATGTACAGGCAAATTTGAGGACAATTGCTGAGCAACATACCTTCTCCCCAAAATTATGATAGGCACGATGTCCGTTAAACTGGTACAGGTAGCTGTGAACTGCTCGCTGGCCCCTATAGTGCGTGGTATTCGAGCACTGATTCAAAATGAGGATAATGTAATAGGACGTAGGGTGACTGCATTTTTGAGGCAGCCTGAGGGAGCATGGGTGTTTTGTTTGTAGTGAATTGCAGTGAGTCAATTGAAAGTACACTGGACTTAGCATGTACAGCCACCTACTCAGTACTCTGAAATATATGTTGTAATCAACTGACTTGTTATTCTGAGCAACAGAAAACACGTTATTGTGATTTTACGAAACGAAAGGAAGCAGCAGAAGGTTATATGAAATATCTTGATTAACTTATACCAGACAGTTGAAACAAATGAATATTTTTTGCACATAAAACGTCTACTAGCCCCCCCAAAACGCCCCCCCATACCCCCCCCCCCCCCCGGCATAAGGTTCGGACCCGGTGAAAGGAAAAGTTTTGGTATTTTAGAGTGCGAATGGTGTCATTTGGTACGGTTTAGAACTATTATTCAGCTGGTCCAAATTCTAATTTCAAGAGGGAACCATTGGTGTGATTTTTGTCAGAAATCGAAGGGGAGGTTCTATTGCTTTTAAAAAGAGGGAGTTCATGCGTAAGGCTTAATTATTACAGAATAATAACGGAACATTTCTAAAAAAGCATGAACTATACACTAGGGTGAAAGTTTGTGTGGCGTTGCTGGCCAATGGTATTCGTCGCGCAGCTTTCGGTGCGCTTTCGTGTTCTAATTGTCATATTTACTTTTAAGATCTCAAATATTAAAATTGATTACTAACGCATAGCTCTTTGTTCCTTTCATCTGTTTTAATAATTATGTATTTATGTGTCGCTCGATTGAGAAAATACTAAAATACTAGTTGATTAAAAATCTCCACAGCAAAAATATTTTCATGTTTTTCAGCCAAAAAAGAAAAAGGAACCTTTAGTCGTATACTTTTGTTGTAAATATTGAAAAATGATAATAAAACTATTTTTATATTGCATCTTGATTGTGTCACAAAAATAATTTTGAGCATTAATTACATTTTAAGGCTTTGGTTTAGTTCCTATATATAAGTATATTTTTTAAATTCTACCTGTATCCTAGTGTCGTCTCAATGTTAGATTGTGAATCTGGTGGTAGTGGCCTAGCAAATTAGGAAGGGATGGGTGAAAGAAGAAAATCGAAGAGAGTGAATGGTGGCTTTATTAATGCCCTTTTCTCCATTCTTTCCTGCTTCCTGATAATTTTTCCATCCTAAACCCTTTAATTATCAACTTTTGTTTTCAAATGACAATTAACACACTGCTACAAAAAGTGGAACCTGGAATAAAAGTTTTAAGTTGAAAACAGTTTGAATTAATTTTTGAAACAACCATATACTGAATCAAGATTAAAAGAAATGAAATCGTCACCTCGACTTAGCGTCCTTATCGCAACATTTTGCCGTAAAGGTTATAATTTATTTCTTTTCTCCGGATTCATTTGGCATGGGGTGGGTGCTACTATAGTACAATATACAACGGCATATTCTAGGGCAAATTTTTCCTATACCACGCATGTAATTTAAAAGGAAATTTCAACAATGAGCAGAAATGTTCATTAGCTTGGTAGTTGGATCATTGTGACGAAGTTGTTGTCTTTATCTGCTAATGATGTTACCTGAGGTAGCTAATACAACTCAGTTATAGTCTTTCTTATTATTTATTAAACTACTTTCCGGTTGTTACCCGCGCCGCTTTCTTTATTTCTATTTCTACCTCATGCAATCTCTAGCGGCCTTCTCCCCCCGTTTACATTACGCACAGTTGTATACGGTTGGACTCTTTGCAACCCCGCAATTTGAAATGTGTGCACTATTTGTTTGGAATTATATTTTAAATGTAGATACTTCTGGCGCACACATAATGTTTATTTAATTTATTAACATTATTCAATGTTTATTATTAATATGCTTTATTTCTTTTTATTATTGGGGCTTCCAATAAAAGAGGCCATCATCGGCCAAATTTCGAACATCACACTTGAGTTTGTTCCATTCTTTTAAATGACAGATTCTATTTTGTTACATCAGCTTAGATCAAGGAGACATAAATACCATATGAACATGACAATCAACTCAAGTTACTCTACAAAACACTACCCGCTCCTTATTAACTCATGTCACTTACAAACATTACAGATTATCAAACACAAGCCGAAATACTTTCATACCGTTAGTTGATGAAGACCTGCGTCCAGGTTGGTCGTAAGCTAACGGTGTGAAATTATTTCGGCTTGTGTTTGACCATTTTCATTTATGAAATTTGAACACTTTTGCTGGCTTTGGTGACTTTGGTGATTACCAAATATACCCATATTTGTAAGTCATCATCAAATGACATTTGATTATATTTACATGCGACTGAGACTGTGTTTGGGGTTGGGGTAGAACTCAACTGCCATACATTTTGCCTTTGAAAATAGGCAGGGTATGAGTAATATTATTTTATATTGGAGCCTTCAAACATTTATTCACCAACTCACTTATCATACAAATTGGCAAATATTTATACTCTATTTCTCTGTATTGATCACACTTTCAATAATTTTTTCCACTGTCTATGGCATGATTATCAGAAATTTTCCATTCTCATGTTGCATACTCGTGATAGAAAATTGCAATCCTATTGTGAAATTAACCGGTCAAATAAAACTGTATCTGACTTAGACCTTTTTTATCTTTTCCTTACACTAAAACAGTTTCCATACTTGTTGACTCCCAGAGAAATTAAACTTAAACTCAATCACTCCATATCCTTTTATTTATAATTGGATTCCTCATTAATTATTACCAGCTATTAGTGAAAGCGCAAGTCATTCACTTAACAACACAATAATAGCGATATGTGGTCTGTCTGGAAACTACTATTTTTTGAGCTACCGCAAAGTGAAGACATAGTTATAAAGGTCTTTAAGTCCCGCTTATGTCCTTACATATCTCGGATTATTTTCTATTTGGCGTCCATTGAAATTTGGCCACCTTCGATTTCTGGAAAAAATCACACCAATGGTCCTCTCTTGAACTTAAAATTTTAGGTATTTTTAGAGGGCGAACGGTGCCATTTGGTATGGTTTGAAACTGTGATTCAGTTAGTCAAAATTTCAAGAGGGAACCAGACGTCGAGGGGGGGAGATCAGGACCCCCCTGACTCCCCATCTAAATCCGCCACTGCAGTTAAAACTCTGGGACCGTTCATGCTGAGTTGGGTCGCACCACCCAGTGCTGCAGGGTTCCTGGTCTTTTACAAAAGAGAAAACAAATTAAGAATAATATCAAGGTGGGAGGGGGGGTCGGTTTCGCATCCGCGAAAACCCCTTTCAAATAATCCTGGATCCGCCCCTGAACTGTGTCCCACGTCTATAAGTTTGCATTCTGGGGTGTTTGGCATTACACGAACGCAATTACATTGAATCCTACCAGAAAGAAAGGATCCAACCGTGAATTGATTTCTTTGTAAAAAATCATCTTCCAAAGTGGCTAAGAAACTTGAAGCTTTTGTTAAATGTCAACTATGCGTAACACGGCAGGAAAGGGCAAACGGGGTTAAGTGACTCAATGTCAGATGAGTAAATAACATTTATTGATATTTCCTCGAGTTTTATTTAACTTGCTTATCAAATGGATGGCAGAAAGTGTATTGATCCGGTGTATATATAAATTCAATTTGCAGTCTAGTGTTTTTGAAATTTCATTCATTCATTTACGAATGCAGAAACACAATCAACTAGCCAGACCGTTTTATATCATTAGTTCTTTCTAATGTTATCTAAAATGTTCGTTTTTTTCTTCGCTTATACAAGAAATGTTAAATAATTGAAAGAATTCTCTCGACGTACCATTATTATGGAACTTCAGTCATTGTTATGGAACTGCATGTATTGATTTACTTGATACACTAACTTGCACACGAGAATGCCTTGGGTATATTGACAACTAGAAAATCCGAAATCAGAAAACTTGACATTTTATATTTTATGCTATTTTCTAAAACTGCGTCAAGGGCACAAGATGTTTTTATTACTTTCCTGGTCATACATGTACATGGCGATGGCACTTG